TCCTACTATCAACTCTTAGCAGATGTTGCCCCCTACCCCCCCCCCCCCCTTTTTCTGGCCACAACTGCTGGTGCTCGGGGCTTACTCCTGGCAGTGCTCAAGGGACCTGATGTGGTGGTGCTAGGATTGAGCCTATATATAAGTGGTTTGCCTGCTATACTGTCTCTCCAGACCTACCCTCATACACACAGCTTTTATCTGTAAAAATAAAAATCATCAGGAGTCATCTTTTCCTTCCTTAAAACTTCCCTGCAACTGTACTCTTTTTGCAACTCCTGTTACAAATGAAACTCTCTCAAAGACCATTTAAGACATCTAGGACCCCCACCCCTGTGTGCTATTTGGACACCTGATTTTTATTCTCAAGGGGTTAGCCTGGGGGTGCAGTGCTGCCAGCAGGTCAACCTGTACTTGCGAGGCAATTGCATTAGCAGTCTGATGGTGCCTTCAGGCTTCCTAATATCCCAAAATTGCCACTGTGCCTCTGGCTGGATCCCAACAACTCAGGATCTAGTTTCCCAAGAAATTAATGACCAAAAGTTCGGTATGTGGAAGCCACACCACAAACCACCTCTGGCTTAGCTAAACAAGCTTATTTATCGGCCTTGCTCCAGAGACTCATAAATAAATCTCAAAAGAGATAAAAAACTTCAATTAATCTTTTTTTTTTCTTTTTGGGTCACACCCGGTGATGCTCAGGGGTTACCCCTGACTCTGCACTCAGGAATTACTCCTAGCAGTGCTCAGGAGACGATACGGGATGCTGGGATTCGAACCCGGGTTGGCCACATGCAAGGCAAACGCCCTACCCGCTGTGCTATCACTCCAGCCCCGCTTCAGTTAATCTTGAACACGCTCAAGGTTGAACAGACCAGGATAAACTGGAGGGGTGTATGTCAGCCAGGGTCCTGCCCAAGCAGTGCCTCTGGCAGCTCCTTAGTCCCACAATCTAAAATCACCGCTATGCCCAGTCAGACTCCACCATCTCAGGACAGACTTCACTGAGATACTCACCTACTGAAAATTCAGGTATGTGGGTCTCGTGACTGAAATCTCCAGGCTTTCTCAGGGTCAGAATGGGCTACCTCTCCTCATTTCCTTATATTCCTTGAAGCGCCAGCAGTCTTCCCCACAAGCCAACTTTAGCAGCACCACGTAAGCTCTTGTACTGGCCTTGCTGCAGAGACCCATAAACAAATCTTAAAAGAGGTCAAAAGCTGTAGTTAATCTCGGACCCTCAAAAGGCTGAACAGAACAGGGCAATTCAGAGAGGGGTGGGTCAGCCTGGTGTCCACCCAAGCAGAGCCCCAGGCAGTGCTTGCTTCCACAATTCAAAATCACCGCCATCCCCCGTGCCCCCCTCCCCCTCCATTGCCAGACTCCACCATCTTGGGATGGACCTCACAGAGATAGTAACCTGTTGAAAATTCGAATATGCAGGTTTTGTGACTGAAATCTCTAGGCTTTCTCAGGGTGAGATGGGCTATCTCTCCGCCACCTCCCTGTGCTTCTCGAAGCCTTGGCAGTCATGTCCACACCTCAAAGCTGCCACCCAGTTAAACAAGCTACTCCAGCCTTACCTTCCCAATAAAAATTCTGAATGCCCTGAACAAACATGGTAACCTCTCGGTACCTGTATTTCAAACCATAATACACAAAAGGGAGCTTGTTTGGATGTTCTAGCAGGGGAAGAGCACAGCTACTCGTATACCCTCGACCAAAGACCGGCCCGTCTCTATTTGGGGAAGGTGTCCTCTTCGACCAGTGCTCAGCTTCGGGAGGGATGCACATGGAGCGGTGAGGGAGGAAGGGGACACCCATCTAGCCAGCCAGATCTGCCGAATCAACCCTGGCGATCAATGGGGTGACAGATGTCGCAGCCAGATCACCCCACATCCAGGAGAACTCGTAGCTGCTTCCCTGGAAGGGAGAATAAAATGAGACTCCCATAACCATTCCACCAGACTCCGCGCCAGGCTGTTTTCACTGGGGGTGTCCCAGAGGACCCAGCCCCAGCAACTGACCTCCACTACCCAACTGCCACCGTGCTCTAGGCCACTTTCCGGACACATCCTAAGATATTTCCTACCCATTTTCCATGATGCTTCCTATCCATTTTCCATAACTACCACACCATGTTTGATGGGGTTCAGACAACAAATCATATATATATACACATATGTATATATATATATGTATATATGTCTCTCAGAGTGCCTGGCAAGCTACTGAAAGTATCCCGTCCACACGGGCAGAGACAGGCAAGCTCCCTGTGGCGTTTTCAGGGAGCCAAAAACAGTAACTATAACGGGTCTCATTTCCCTGACCCTGAAAGAGCCTCCAATCATTGGGAAAGATGAGTAAGGAGAGGTTGCTAAAAATCTCAGGGCTGGGAGGAATAGAGACATTACTGGCGCCTGCTCAAGTAAATCCACGAACAATGGGATGACAGTGATACAGTGAATACACAAAAGGAGAGAGAGGAGGGGAGGAGAGATGTCTGTTAAAGAGGCAGGCTGGAGAGGGGTACGGTGGGAGGGAGACAGGGGACATTGGTGGTGGGAGGTGTGCATTGGTGGAGGGATAGGTGTTAGATCATTGTGTGATTGAAACCCAATCATAACAGTTTTTTAATGGTCTATCTCATAGATATTCATTAACATTTTAAAAAAGAAAAGAAAGAGGGGGTAGTCTATGCCTTTCTGTAAAACCAATCCTAAAAGCTTAAATACAAACTCCAGTATAGTATTGCCCAATACATTTATTTTTTGGTGATGGAAATATTCTGTATGTGCAGATATGTACATATTGCCACTAGCACTTAAACAAAAATTATCAGTGAGGAACACTAGTTGTTAAACACTTAAATAACACTTTAATAATACTACTAGTTATTAAACACTTAAATTATCAGTTAGGAACTGAATTTGGGAGGTGGAACGTTTTGGAGCACATCCAGTGATACTCAGGCACTCTTCTTGGCTCTGTGCTCAAGATTAACCTTTGGTTAACCTCTGGGAAACCATATGCAAGTATGAAAATTGGGTGAAACCTGAGTGGAGTCAGCAACATGGAAGACAAATGCTTTAATTGCTGTACTATTTCTCTCGCATCAGGAATTGATTTTTTCCCTTTGGTTTTGGGCCCTACCTGTCAGTGCTCAGGGCTTATTCTTGGCTCTGTGCTCAGGCATCACTCCTGGAAGTGCTCTAGGAAGCATATGGGATGCCAGGAATCAAACCCGGGTCAGCCACATGCAAGGAAAGTGCCCTACCCACTGGTTGGTCCTTCCTAGAATGGAAATTTTAATTGTATTTATATTTACATTATGCAATTAGTGACAGATGGCTAGTGGATATCATCCAGGATACAGCCTGGATCTTATCTCCCCTTCCAAGCAAACTTTACCTTTAACCTTTATTCTCATTTCCACGCTCTCTAGCTACACCTGTTACAGTCTAACTTCAAATTTTAATATAAATGTTGATCTCCTTTGGATTGACTCTGGGTTGCCAAATCCAAGTAATCTGCCCTTTTTTATCACAACACATGACCCCATGATCCTCTTCTCTGCTGGAACACCACTTTCTCCAATTTTGTTATTTGGTTTTGATTTTGGGCCACGCCTGGCTATGCTGGAACACAGGGGACCATGACGGATGCCTGGATTTGAACCAAAGTCGGTACATGCAAGGCAAGGACATGCAGATGCAGGGACTCGAACCCAGATGAGTGCTCTACAGCAGAGCTCCAGCCTGGACCTCTCTCTCTCTCTTTCGCCTCAACATCATCATCATCATCATCATCATCATTATTATTATTTTGGCCACATCCTGCAGTGCTCAGGGCTTATTCCTGGAAGGCTTGGAACCATATGAGGTGCTAGGAAAAGAACGTGGGTCTGCCGCATGTGAGGCAATGCCTTACATGCTGTACTTGGCTCCAGCCCCTCTCGCCCCAATTTTAAAAAGTGACCAAGTCTTATTCCTCAGACTTTTTGTTCCCCCTATTATTCTCAATACGCGCCTGAGCCGGGCTTGATTCTTCGGCCCCTCTCGGAGAGCCCGGCAAGCTACCGAGAGTATTCTGCCCGCACAGCAAAGGCTGGCAAGCTGCTTGCGTGGTATTCCATCTGCCAAAAACAGTAACAAGACTCACAATGGAGACATTACTGGTGCCCGCTCTAGCAAACCGGTGAACAACGCGAGGCCAGTGCTACAGTGCTATCCTCAATAGGGAACTGGTATCATCCACTGCAAAGGGTCCTCATTACAACTAGAATATGCTCTTTCGCATGTATGCGCCACGGTCGTTTCTCTCCCGCCCCACGGGGCCTGACCGGCCTGGCCTGACTTCCCCACCTGCATCCTTCGTTTTTCGCCCCCGTCCCCCACAGCTCCTCGCTGCAGCGTTCTGCCTTCCTGGTCTTCCAGCTGCCCCTCGGGTCAGGCCGTGTTCCGGGGTCTCCGCACAGCCTTCTCTCCCCGGGGACCCCCGATGCCCGCTGCACGCTCTCTTGTGCCTTCTACGCGTGGGCCTCGCGCCCATCCCCTCGGCGTCAGCGCCTCCCTCCAGAGCCTCTCCCGGGCTCCCCGGCCCGCGCCGCGGCCTCCCTTCCGGGTCCTTCCCCCTGATCGCTCTTCACGCTCACTTGCAGATACCCGCGCGTCGGCCCGTTCAGGGCCCCGAGCCGACCGCGCGTCCGCTCGGCCGAGGGCTGGGACCCCCGGACGCGGGAGGTCGCGCCGAGGAGCCGCCCGACCCGCCACCGGGCCGGCCGCAGCCGCGAGGACGGGGCGGGCCCGGCGGGGCGGGCCGAGCGCGGGGCGGGCGGCGCGGGAGCCCCGCCCCTTCCGGTCTCCGGGCGGCCCGGGGGCGGGAGGCGGAGGGCGCCGGCTCGGCCCGCCCCTTCTCCGCCTCCGGCCGCCGCTGTCAGCTCGCGGGCGTCCGTCCGAGGCGCGGTGCATGCTGAGCCGCTGCGGGCGCCCGCTGCTGCACGTCCTGGGCCCGCGCTCCCCGCCGCTGCACGTCCTGGGCCCGCGCTCCCCGCCGCCCACCGGCCGGCCGTCTCGCCGCCGCCCTCCGCGCCTCATGAAGCCGCTGGTCGTGTTCGTGCTCGGCGGCCCCGGGGCCGGCAAGGGGACCCAGTGCGCCCGCATCGTCGAGGTGAGGCCCGGGCAGCCGCCGGACCGCGCCCCGCGGGCTCCGGGTCCCGGCGCCGTCGCGCGGGGTCCGCGTGGCCGGTGGTCGGGGTCCGCGCGCGCGCGGCATGTCGGGACCGGTAGTTCGGCACCGCGCGCCTCCGGGGCGCCGGGGGGTCGCTTTGTTCCTGCGCCCGGTTCCGTGGGTTCCGGACGCCCGCGTCTGCCGGGAAGGTGGCCGGGGGAGGAGGCCCCGGGCCCGCGTCGCCGGCCGGGCCGTGGGTGCGGGCGCAGGAGCAGGGGTGCGGGTCCCAGGCCGTGCGCTGTCCGGCGTGGACCCCCGCGCCCGCTCGCCGCCCGCCCGGCCCCGACGCGTCGCCGCATCGGGTGGCGCCCCGGGAGGAGCCGCGAGGGGCGCGTGGGGCGGTGACCAGTCCCGGGTCCGGCCGCGGGGCTTCGCGGGCGCTCGAGGTCCGCGCCCGGCCCCCGCGCCCCGCCCGTCGCCGAGTCCCGAGTCACTTCCTCCCCGGTCGCAGTCGCCGCCCCGGGCGCGTCCGAGGAGCCGGTGCGCCCAGGTTGGAGCCCGGAGCGGGAGACGCCGCCCGGACTCGAGCGCGCGTTTCTCGCCACCCCGGCTCGCTTCCCCGAGCGAGGGGGTGGCCAGGGACGGCTCGCAGTTGGTTGTGGCGGGCGGGGACGCGGAGGGCTTTGGGGGACCCGGGGCGGGGACCGGATGCAGAGGAGGGGGGCGGCGGCGGTCCCCGAAGAACGCCCGAGGGCACCTGAACCGCGGTCGCCCGCCCGCCCGCCCGAGCTTGGGCTCGACCGAAACGACCGCGTCCTCCGGGCGGGATTTGGCCGACGCTGGCCGCGAGCTTTCACTTCTTGCCCTCTGGGTTCACGCGCCCTCCTGTTCCCCGTGTTATGGTCTCTTGTATGGTTAAGAGCCTACAGCATATCTATTGCATGTGTGTCCTACAGCAGTGGGTTGTTTTTTTGTGTTTTGGAACCAGCATACGCACACACATACGAAATACAATATAGTCCAGTAGTAAATTTTTTTAAAAAATTTTTTGTTCTTTTCACTATTAGACACAAGTGGCAGTTGAATTATTTTAAAGTTGGGTGTTTTTTTTTTTTGGTTATGTAAATAACGTGATAGAGGCAACGACTCTAAGAGTGTCAGACAAATAAGGGTTAATAGCCTCTGCCAATTACTGTTTCTTTTAGACCCAGAGAAGTTATTTTTAGCTTGAGTTACTTTGTAGAAAGGAAGAAATAAGTGTCTCACGTAAGATTTATGAATATTAAGTGAGACAGATATCTGGAAACATTTTTCAAGGGTCTTTTAGTTTGTTTTTGCAGCACAGCAGGCAGTGCTCAGGGATTGCTCCAGACTCTGCACTCAGCAGTTACTCCCGGTGGTGCTTGGGGGACCATATGGGATGCTGAGGATCAAATCTGGGTCAACTGCCTGCAAGGCAAACTCCCACCTACTGTACTACTGCTCTGAGCCCGCTCCCCCCTTTTTTAAAATTCTGAACTTCCTCTTCTTAACTTCTGAGATTGATATTTTTACTTTGAAGTAATAGTATTTTTTAAAGATGGTTTATAACTGTTATATTTGAAAGCCCTTAAATATTTTGTTTCTAAATCATAATGTGACTTTAAAAGTCTGTGCCCAAACTATTAATACACTCTGGTAGGGTACTACTTCACTAGACTAAAAATAATCCATGTTTTGTAACTAGTATTTATTCTAGTATTTAATAATGACATAATTATAGTGTGTATGTGAGAGAGTCTTGTGTTTGTGTGTGTGTCTGTGTGTCTGTATGTGTCTGTGTTGAGTGTTTTACTGCTAAGTAACATCCCTGGCTATTGACTGATAAATTTTAAGACTGTTAGTTATCAAATAAGATTTTAATGATGGGACATTTTTTATATTATTCTTTTATGCTCCTGTACTTACATAAGCTTGATGTTTTTAAACTTTAACTTTCTTTTATTAAAGTATTTGTTCTAGTCCCACTTGCTGTAAACATGAAGTTGATAGCTACAAATTCCAAATAGTAATTGATCACCTAGTTGAATGAACAATGAAATACTTATATTCAATTTCATGGAACGTTTTAAGTCTCTGAGAGATATTTTGACTCTATTTTATTTTATAGACAAACTTAGTCTGAATATTATACAGGCAAACATAACTGTGTTCCAAAAGATTGTAAATTTATTAACCTCTTCTGTAGGGAAAAAGTTAGGGGGAAAAATTACGTAAATCCAGGTTAACCTCTCTGTTCCCTTCCCCAGTGCCATGCCAAAGCAAATTTAGTTCACAGGGTAGATGAAATGTAGCTGAATTAGAATTGTTTTCTTGGTAAAGCTGATTTTTGACTCAGATTGTCCCAAGTTCATCTTTGGGGTCTGACTATGGAATGCTAAGGACGTAAGTGTTCTGATGTCCTAGAACATAGGAATTAAGTGAGAAGGTCTCACTTAATTATGGAAAGTTGATACATATTTTTTTTTTCCTTCATGGAAACTAAGTCTACCTCTGCTCTTAGATCCCCAGACCTTGAGGAAGTAAAGGCAGATGTGACACAGTATCCTTTTAAAAGTAAGGAAACATTTGTTTTTGGGGAGGTGTGGGGAAAGCACTGACTTTTTATGTTTTATTTTTACTGATTTTTTTGAGCTTTATTTGTTGTATTTTGTTTCTAAATCTATATCAGCTAGTACTCAAATTGCTTTTGAAAATTATCTGTATTAAGCTACCAGTGGAAGTAAATATTCTGAAATAACTTGCTAGTTACTAAAAATCATAATCAAGATACTGTGTCACTTAAAAATTTTATTTCATTTTTAATTTTTTTAATTTTATAAAGTTGTTCCTGATTTATTACATTCAATGTTTCAACACCAATCCCACCACCATTGCACATTCCCACCACTATTATTTCAATTTTTCCAACTATCCCTCAGACCTGCTCCTATAGCAGGCCCTGAATATTTTATATTGCTTGTTATAGTTTGCTAAAGGGCGTTTGCCTTGGACGCGGCCGACATGGCCGACCCGAGTTCGATTCCTCCGCCCCTCTCAGAGAGCCCGGCAAGCGACGAGAGTATCTCGCCCACTCGGCAGAGCCTGGCAAGCTACCCGTGACGTATTCGATATGCCAGACACAGTAACAACAAAAGTCTCCAATGGAGACGTTACTGGGCCTGCTCGAGCAAATCGATGAACAACGGGAGGACAGTGACAACAGTGATCAAAAAATATTTCCTTAGAAGAAAGTGTGAATATTGTTTATCTCACTATGGAGCCATTAAGCCCTTGTAGAAGAGATTATTAACATGTTGTTACAGGTTAAGCCTTGTGGGTTTATATTTTCTTAATCAAGATTGGTTGCTTTATACTTAACATCCCATCCAAACTGTCATTTTTCAATTTGGGAAGGTCAGACACAGAGCTGCATAGGGGCAATTCCTAGCATTGTGTTCAGGAGTGACCCTCAGTGGTGGTCAGGGGGACTATAATTTCTGCTAAGGATTCAGACTGCATATCCCCATCCCCCCACAGGCCACCTGCCCCTGCATGCAAAACAAGTGGTACATTCTGTACTATCTCTGTGCGACCTTCTTATTTTTGCAATTTTTAAATTAAAATTTGTATTGTTTTGGCTCAAGAAAATGACCATACTGTAACTTAAATGTTTTTGAAAATATAATTTTGTATTTAGTTGAAAGGGATTTAAATTAATTTTCTTTATCAAATTATATAGAATAAACAAATTATTGTAAAACGTATATCCATCCCAAATTTCTTTGTATTCATACCAAATTGCTTTTTGTACCTCTCCCTCCCCCGCCCAAATTCTTTTTTATTATGATTTCCTACAGGGTCCATTTCGGTAACTCATACTTTTTTGTTTTTCTTTTTGGGTCACACCCGGCAATACACACAGGAGTTACTCCTGGCTCTTCATTCAGGAATTACTCTTGGCGGTGTTCAGAGGACCATATGGGATTCTGGGACTCTAATCCGGGTCGGTCGTGTGCAAGGCAAACGCCCTACCCTCTGTGCTATCATTCCAGCCCCGGGTAACTCATACTTTGTATGGCCTCTTGACATACTATACTTACAGAATGTATGCAATACGTGAAAAAATTAAAAAAACTTATTATTTTTAAAAAGTTTTTTGTGTGTTTTCAGTATTCAGTTCTGTATTGAATATTGTGCCTATTCACGAATAAGTTTTGTTGTCATTTGATTGTTTTTTGTGTGTGTGTGTTTGATTTTGGGGCCATACCTGTCAGTGCTCAGGGCTTACTTCTGGTTCTGTGCTCAGGGATCACTCCTGTCAGAACTCAGGGAATCATATGGGGTACCTGGGATCGAACCCAGGTAAGCCCATGAAGGCAAGTGCCCTACCTGCTGTACTTTCTCACTGGATCTTCATCTAAGTCTTTTGTGTGCCCTCAGTGAATTATTGATATGGTTGTGAAAATATGCTTAGTATTCTAAAATTTCCAAGCACCTAATTACAACTCACCTAAGCAGATTATTGCCTCTCATAGAAGAAAGTAGATTTAAAAATCCACTGGACTTTAAGAATGGTCTCTCTCTTCTTGGTAGGATAAGGTGGAGTAATTATTTCTTACAGGAAGTTTAAATTGTTGGGCTGAGTTTGTTCAAAGGGTTGTATCGCAGACTTTGCGTACAGGAACCCTGCCCTGGCTTTGATCCCTGGAACCACATAGTCCCCGAGCACCACCAGGTGCAGGCACCCCCACCAAAAAAAGAAGATTATATGTTGTTCAGAATTTGGAGTAGAGGAGAATATATTTGAATTATTTACTCTGAAAACTTCTTTTGCCTTTTCATTTTAAGGTACAAAAGTAGTTCATGCTAGTTGGGAAAAGTTGAATTTCTTCTAATCCTGTAGTAACTGATATCAATCATCTGGTAGCTGATAACTAACTGCTTTCCCATCTCTATCTCAGTGTTCTTACAAGTAAGGA